GGTGACCTGCTTAAATAAGTGGACTACCTGTTCATTCTATCTAAACATTTTAACAAAAGCTTGTTGAAATACCTTGTGCTGAGAATTCTATATCGTACCAAAAAAGTAACATTGAATAAAACCATTAATAATAATAATAATAATTTAAAGTAATAAATTAAAGAGAATGGTCAACGTTCATGATCGGTCTGTTATTTAGTACAATCAGTAGTCAACTATTTTCCAAAGTTTAAGCTTTTTCTTACATCTTTTTTCCTGAAATCAAAACGGTTTATTTCATACTTCATTTAAAAGAAAACATTATGCTATTGTATGTTTAAATAGACCAAAAAAGATGGTGGTTAAAGTTTCATTTTCCTCATTAGTAGAATAGATGTAAAGGATGATATGGAAAACAAAATGATGGATAAATCTAGAATATCTTTGAGTCAGATGTTGAATTCCACAAACATGTCATTTCATGCCTTGGTTCGGTTCATCTCGGTTTATATATATATATATATATATATATATATATATATATATATATATATATATATATATATATATATATATATATATATATATATATATATATATATATATATCAAGCCATACAGAATGGAGTAAAAGAGTGAACATCCTTACATATATTACTCTTAGTGGGACATAGACAGACAATCAGCAATCTCCAACCAACTCTGTCATGGAATCTCCTTTCCAATTGCTTCCATATAATGTTTATTATTTTGATGTCTGCCTTTAATTCCGGCGCAATTTGTTTTTCTGCACGCCTCTTTTCTTTTCGCGTTAAGAATTCCAAGTTGAGACTTCGTCTGAGATGCAATATGATGATCTTCGCAATAAGTGGTTTATTTACTCCCAGAGTCTTTTCCTAATTTCCTCTTCAGATGGAAGCTGGTTCGTTTTCTGCCATAGTAGGCTGTTACTGATGATATCTGGTCAACAGATCTGGAGCATCCTACGTAGACAACTGTTTATAAATACTAGTATATTTTTGGTGTTGGTTGTGATGTTTCTCCAAGTTTCAGTTACATACAGTAGAACTCTCTTGACGTTCGTATTGAAGATTCTCACTTTGATATTGGCCGATAGTTGTTTTGAGTTCCACACGATCGCCTATTTTAGGAATGCTGCCCTTGCTTGTCAATCATTGCCTTCACATCTGCATTAGATCCTCCACCTTCATCGGAGATTCTATCCAGATACGTGAAACTTTCCATCGCTTCCAGAGTTTCTTCATCAAGTGTTCTCCGTGTTACATTTGAGGATCTTGCTTGTCCTCTTGTGTATATTGAAGCCTATTGATACAACGGTTTCTGTTACACTGTCTATCTCCATCTGCATTTGTTCGTGTGTATGGGATAGAAGGGCTAGGTCATCCGCGAAGTTCAAATCCTCTAATTGATTCCAAGCTGTCCATTGTATTCCGTGCTTTCCCTCAGATATCGAGGTTTTCATAATCGAGTCAACCAACAGAAGAAAGAGGAAGTGGGAGAGTCGGCAGCTTTGCCTGACTTCGGTTCTTACTTGAAATGCATATGTCAGCTTTCCTTCATGAACTACTTTGCACTGTAGTCTGTCGTATGAATTCCGGATAATGTTGATGATCTTCTCAGATACACCATAGTGTCGAAGAAGTTTCCATAATGTTCTCATATCCACATTGTCAAACACTTTCTCATAATCAAGGAAATTGTTGTATAGTGATGAGTTCCATCTAATTGTTTATTCAACGATGATCATAGTGTCGCAATTTGGTCTGTGCACGACCGATGCTTACGGAATCCAGACTGTTGGTCTTGAAGTTGGGTGTCAACTGAGTCCTTCATCCGGTTCAGCAACACTCTGTTGAGAAGTTTACCTGGTGCTGATAGTAGTGTGATTCTTCTATATTTCTCACATTGGCTCAAATCTCCTTTCTTTGTATTCTTGGCGAGGCATCCTCCTTTCCAGTCCGTGGGTAATTGTTCCTCCTCCTAAATCTTTGTGAATGAGGTGTGGAGCATGATTGTAGTTGTATCTGTCTTAATTCACTGCTTCAGTTAGTATATTGTCATGTCCTACTGCTTTCCCACTGTTGACTTGTCTGGTCATCCTGATTTCTCCGATCATTGGTGGAGTGACAGCTATAGGAAGGTCTATATGTGCTGCTTCGATGTCCGGTGAGTTCAGTTAAAATAGATTATCCCATAGCTCTTCAAAGTATTCTATGCGCCTGTCCTGCTGACTTTGGACGTCAATGACTGTTTTGGTTTCTTTGTCCTTGAATAGTCGTTCTGTTTTACCATATTTCCGCGCTTGCTTCTCCTTCTCTTGGAGCTCCTTCAGCTGTCATTGTTAGGTCTTCCACATATTTCCGCCTATGAGCTCTAATGCTCTTTTTCACTTGCCTATTTGTTTCTGGGTAATCGGTTCGTGCCTTGACTTTCCATGTTCTTGTTTGGATATTGTAAGTTTCTCTGTTCTTGTTTTTTCTTGAATGTAAATGTTATCGATATGGTTCTCTTTAGTGTGATCTGGCGGTAACTATGTTTTGCTTTGTGTATGAGTTTGTGGGAGACTATAGTGCCACCTATAACCATCTTGTTGAATGTACGGCATTTTTTCTTTATGACCGGAGTACAACAGCAGTTCTTCCAAAGTTAATCTTTTCTGTTCAACCTGCGCCCAATGGGTTTTACTTATTCTAAGCACTACCAGGTCGTATCTTTTTATTTCCGCAGCTATTTGACTAATCTTCCCCAGTCTTCCGCATTGTCCGGACTATCCTGGGACCTATGTTAATTGTTTCCCTGGTTATTATAATGGGGAATCGGCCTCGTGGTTTCCGAATAGCTTTGGCTTTCATCATGAGACTCTGAAATCTTCAGTATTATCAATGATCAAGCCAAAAACTTTGAAAATGCTGTGAAGACGGCACATTTGTCGTAGCCAAAAATGATTAGCTGTAGATTAACAACAATTTGATACGAAAAACGTTTGATGACAAAATGTTTACATCACAAGCGAAACCAGAAAACATAAAATCATTCTTCCAAATCCTGATCACCATAACCAATATGTGCAAACTTGAGATTCAAGTGTACTGGAAGCTAACCCACACTGATCAGAGATTCGCTTACTGCAGCGACAACCCATACAAACCTTGTTCAAAAGAATGAACACACCCTGCAGGACCACTATGACGCTGATAAATATAGGGGAATACCTGGCGGATGTATTGGGAAAAAATGACTGCCCACAAAACTTCGTCCAGGAATTTTTATCGAGCCCACCATCAAGCATAAAATTAACAGCGAAATTCAGTAGACAGATAATCTTAAAATGCATTAAAAGCATCTTACATGTCAAAAACAGATTACTAAGGCCACTAGTAATAGGTGCATTCTACAATTCCACAAAATTTTCACGATCAATATTGTGCAACCAAAGAGCGCAACAATGAAAGCAGGTACATTGAAAAGTATCTACGTGATAAACTGGAGCAACCACAGGAAACAGCATATAAGATGGAATTATTGCCTTTTTCATCTGCACCAACATAAATACCGATTAGTTGTTAAACACCATAGTATAACGTTGGTTATACTAATACACAGGAACAGATATATGTATGATTAACTAATGATTGGATCAGATCCCACACTTCTAGAAGTTCTTTGGAATTTTTCGAATTTCTGCCATCCAGAATATTGAAGTTCTCTCAATCTAACTCCTATTCGTGGATGTTTGTGAATGTTCACGAAAATTTACAAAAACAATAACTGAATTTTGATATTTTCATTTCTTAAGATATATTTGTGACCTAATAATTTTCGTTAGGTCAGTTTGTGGGAATATGTTAATTGAAAGATAATTAAAACAAAATATATGAAAGATAATTTCGCATTATAGACTGATATAGCTCAAGAATCATTTAAAAGATGCATAAGAAAAGTTGGTTTAATGAAGTTCATTATTTTTATTGAAGGTATTCAATTCGATCCCGTTTGTAATTGTGAATATAGAAAAGTCATAATTAGAAAAAAACATTTATTTGATGCTTCCCAGTATCTTTTTATGGTTCTTCAAAAAACTCGATTCTTGACGGAAACTTGCTACTTTTAAAGATATAACGATATTACCTAAACTGGTAAAACGGAGGGAAATTTAGCAACACAACAACAGAACAAACTAAACTATTCACTGGGCTCCAGCCCTGCTAACTTGAGGGAGAAGACCAGGTCCAGCAGAGGGAAAAGTATATTCCACAAGCAGTTGGAAACACAGTATAAAAATGTTCTTGGGAAATGTCACAAAACAGCGTATTGAAAGAGGGAATGAACCAGTGACATTTAAGGTCCTTCCAAGTGGTAAATACAAAACGAAGGTAATAATGGACGCTTTTGGCGCGAAAATGAGAAATTCAAAATTTTAAAATAAAATTACAAAATTAAGACGTTTACTAAGTGGCTTATGGGGATCTAGCGTTCCCAACAAAACTATCTTTCAAATTGGTTTCAGTTTAACTTATTGAAAACCTGAAGATGCTAAAATACTAATTTACTACTAATAGACAGTCAAGTATAAGTGAAAACAATTCAGATTAACTACTGTATATAATGTGCAACAACACACTAGATATTGAAAGGTAAAATTGAAAATGAATTAGATTTTTCAAGTAGACAAGCTGATTGATTGCCTCAGCGATTTTAGTAAGAGGTTCTAACGTCTTTTCGGTTAATAGCGTTAATTCATACTATAACTAGTTGATCACTGAGTAGCGTCCGATACCATGTTTGTCTGTTTCTTTAGTAGTGGTCAAATCCTATCGACTGAGTTGTAATGTGGTCGTTAGTTTGAGTAACTTAAATAGGCTTTCTCTGTAAATTTATATGGGATTGTTGAATATAGTCAACAGGAAAACCTAAAAATGGATTTGTTTACTACTCACTAAACAATCCATTGTGAATATGTCAGTTATAGAGGAGTCATTCGCCACTCAACTGTCTCAGTGGCTACGCCTTAAATTATGAAGTCGTGTGATGTTGAATCAAGTCGGCAAAGCAGCACCAGTTTCTTCAATATTACAAATGTGCTCTACTGATAAGTGCCAAATAGTACGAAATCTATGTCCAGGGTTTTGTGCAGACTACCTCCAACCACCTGTTGTCACATAATCTATTGCACACATACAATATAGTTATTATGTTTTACAAAAGCTTACTCTCTTGTACGGAGTTGCTAGGGTATGGAATTAATACCTATTTCTAGATATATTCTTTCATTTATATTTTAATCAAATAGAATTTTTCTTATTGACGAATTTCTACAAATTAAATACGTGACTTTTGAATGGACAATGGAATCTTTCTTTTAGAGTGCTTAGCTGTCCTCATATCTGATTTTTCTTTATTTTTTTGTTGTTGTTGTGGAGATATTCGATCACTCCTGTTATTGGCCTATGATTGGATTGGAGAAAGAGACATATCTGTTCACGTGTTAGACAGGTGTTATCCAAGACATTTCTGACATTGTCGTACAAATATATGTATAATTTAAATATATCCATATACATCTTTATGAGTATGGTTAAGTTGTGTGTGTATGTGTGTATATGTGAACACTAACATTTATATATATATTTCATTGAGTTCATATCTGACAGTTAAATAAAATAGTTTCTGGTTTGTGTTTGTTCCACTATTTTGTCTATGAGGAAAAATCGCTAAGTTGTATGTGTCTATCTATCGATCAGAAACGACGCCGACAGTCATACTTCTATCATGTATATTTATGTGTATAATTATCCTACTCATGCGAAATTTCTTTGAACTGCTCATTACAGATTACTATTATTATTAGTCATTCTCACCATTCTTTCGATTATTAATAACAAATTTTCACAGGATTAATAACTTTCATTATAAAAAATGGCTACAGGAACGTCATCAACAACAGGAGAGAAGAAATCATGAAACACTCCGTGGATTATTATCTTATTTCAAACAATTTATTCAGTTATCAATTTGTCCACAAGTAAATTTCTATGATCTTGAATTCAACCAGTACATGAATTAATGATCTAGAAGTTTACATAATAAAAAAAGTATTAAGGCTAGCTAACTATTAGAGTCTACTCTACTATGGAATTGAAAGTGTTGAGACAAAAATAACTTCACCTCTGGGAGATTTAAAAATCTAGTTATTTCGAAATGTTATTCTGCTATCTTGGAGATAAGTGAAAAGTTTATCGTTATGTAAAATGGTTCAATAAATAGAAAACGATGGTTGATCACAGAGGTCATGAAATGCATAAGTCAAATCAGAGTAACATTAGTACAAGTGTCACAAACCAAATTAATGACATATCAATTTCAAATACAGTCAGTATAGGTAACAATAATATATCTACTGATAGGTTTCGAGATGATAATCTCGAAGAGGATGAAACAGACGAAGCAGAGGAAACAACCGAGGTGGACAATGTGATTAATGAGGAAAATCGAAATACTCACAATTATAATAATCAGACAACTGATATGTTAAAGATGAAAAGTAATCTTTCAAATTATACAAATCAAAATGATTATATTAAATCTCAAAATTATGATGAATTTGATTCAAAAAGTGGAATAATCTATCAAAAATTAGATTCTTTCAAAAAACCATACACGCACACAATCACAACAACTACTAATATTACAACTAATACTAATACTAATACTACTGTAACCAATACCAATTCAACCATACCATTAACTGTAAAATTAAATATTCATAAAGAGAATGAAAATAATTTAGAAATGTCCAAAGATGAAACAATGCGTAATTTAGCTAGACGTACACTAGCCATTGGTATACCTGGATTACATCCATCTAATCATAAAACATTATTTATATTCTCTGAAGAGAATGCAATTAGAAAATATTCAAAAATTATAATTGAATGGGGATATCCTTTTTTCTTTGCTAATTTTCATGACTTTCATTCATCTCATATACATATATATGCATACATTGAAATGATAACATCAGCACCATGATTATCATAGAAGGGAGTTATTGTTTTATTAGTCTTTTATGTTTTAAATGAAATTTTCCAATTATTTTTTTTTCCTCAATGGTTACAAATTATTATTAGTTAGATTCATTAAAGAGTTTAACCTAGTTTATAGAAATTCATTTATTGTTTTATTTTTATCGATCTGTTGTTTACATTTTTTTAGGTAAGTAAGTAGAAATTAGAATTAGAATGGGACAAGAGTAGAGAATGTTTTATAATTTTTTTGTTGTTGATATACGTTACTATGTATATAATGTTATGTCATGTCAGGCGGTTACCAATTAAATTAGTTAATATTTACTTAATAAGTTATATGTTTAAACCCACCTCCGATTGTGTTTGGTTTAGATTACTGGATAGTATCATAAATCAGTACATAAACTGTATGGTTCAAAATGGAGTGTATAAATATGTATTTGGGTTACGTGAAATTTATAAAATAAACTATAAACTTATGTTAAAAGTCTGAAATAAATTTTTTTTTTAATTACAAGTTGATATTAGTTGAAGAAGCAGTTGTTTAAAGATAATACGTCTATCATAAGATGGATAGATCTAAGGACAGAACAAATTTTTAATGCCTTATAGTTTTTAATGATTACTTGAATGATGTCAACTAGTCACAAGTAACATAGGAACTAAGACATATTTTTATTGGCTTAAATTTTCACAATAGATCAACAGACTATGATTCAATAAACAAGCGAAATTCCATCTATAGTGATAGAAGTAGTTGTACTACCACAGACAATAGAAAGAAATAGAGAACATAGTTCGAGGACTGAAAATTTAATACTAAACAAATAATAATAATAAATGCATCTGATGGACGAATTTTTTAAGCATTCAATGTCTTTGACAATACATAGATCGTCAGTATTTATCCATACGGATTAAACTGATAATCAATCCAACAGATTTCAGTTAATGACAATAGTTACTTCCATATACTTATATTTTTGTGACAACCTAGATAAACCTATAAAGTAGACAGCTTTATAATTAGTAATTCGTCATACAAAATCAATGGTTTAGTAATTGGAACATATTTTTTATTATCATAGTTTACTGAATACGTATTGTTGCTTATATCAAGATAATGACTTGAAAAAAACTTTTACTCCCATTGTCAATATTCGGGATTTTATCAAGCTTAATATATTATTAAAAAGGCAAGCTTATAGTGGTGTTACATTTTCTCAGGTAGATAATTACATTGCAATTGTACACCTTGACAACATTATCAAGTAGAATTAGTCACTGATAATATTGTTCAGAATGATAATGAAAGCTTTGTTGTTAAATTATTCTGTTCAGGGAACACAATACCATGAAATTATAATTAGTGGTCTACTAAAAATAAGTAACTGTTTACCATAAATAATTCGTAAATATAGTTTTAGAAATGAATGTTTCTTTAATAAAATAATCAAAGTGTCAAATTTTTCATAGTGGATATTCTATCTATTTATAATTCATCAACTTAAGTTTAACTGAATTAGTTAATTAAATAGATACGGGTATATTTTAAGTGTTGTCACGAATTTTTCCCACTATACAATTATAATGTTACAATTTATTTTGCAATTTTAATAGTTGAGATCATAAGTCAGTTGAAGTTAGATCACCATGGAAAACCTGAAAGAACTGGAAGCACGACCCCTCCATGGGAGATTCGAACCCAGAACCTACTACTCTCGCTCGCGAGCGCTTAATCTCTAAGAATTGTGGCTGCTCACTTCTGAGGAGTTCCACAATAGGAAGGAAACGGCCGTCTAGTGATTCCGGATTTTCCATGGTGATCTAGCTTCAATTGACTGATGATCCCAACTATTAAAATTACTAAAATATCCAGGGAAACCCCTTCTGATATTCATTTATTTTGAGTTGGAAATTTTTGTCAACTTAAATCACGAATGGGGCAGTTTCCACTTCTTTCTTTTAATTTTTACAAAATCATCAGAGTATATGGTATCCATGTTATTCATGAATATTTCCTTTCAAAATAACAATTTTGCTAAGCATAATTAGTTCTAGGGTGAATTATTTGCACTAAAATAAAAACACTTTCCTTTCAAACAGTATCATTTTGATTCATATTATGTGAGTAGACAACTATGACGGTTATAAGATTAAATAAGAAAGATTATTTCAGCTAAGAGTTCTCTTCTCGGCGAATTCATTTTTAAAACTGTACAGTCGCAAATATATATACTTATTTTTCAGGATGTTAATAATTACAATAATAATGATAATAAACTTCTGTTAGACATGGTGACAGTTAGGTAAAATAAACAAAGGTACTAAAAAAAAGTTTTTAAACAGGTAAACTGATAATCGTTTGATTGTTAATGGCTTAAATTTTCCTCAAAAGATAGATAGAGAAATTATCATCGGGAAAGGATGGCTCAACATGATAAGATAAAATGTTGAAATCAAGGTTAAATGTAATCAGGAGGATCGTAGAAACAGAAATAAACCACTTAGGGGTAGAAGATTAAAGAAGATGGAAGGGGAAGCAGATGGCTATAAAGGAAAAAGAATATTAAAAGAAATTCTAAGACATTAAGTCCATGGTAGAAGAAGAGGTTGTACCAATCTCTTCTATGGACATACAATTCTAGTTTTCCCAGATATATGCCTATTGCTTTGGCAATACCAAGAAGATGCAATATAATTGTCTTTGAAAGACTTCTACTTATCTTGTAGACGACTTTGAACGCAGGGTCTGTTTTGGTTGACTGACCTGTGTTCACAAGGTGTTTTATTATTGAACTTCTTATTGAGCCGTTTTCTCCTTTTTTTAGCCACGCCAAATAATGTTCTTGAATTCTTTTGGATAAAGTACTCATCGAACGACCTATATATCTGGCTCCACATGAGCAGGTAAATTGGTAAATACACACTTAGTTGGTCAGATGAGATAATTTGTCATTAAGATTATTGGTGAACAATGAATGGCTGGAGAATACTATTCACAACTTGGCTGCAAAGAACGTTCTTTTTAAAGAATCAAAAAATCTTCTCTTTAAGTCATATGTAGCACTGTCACCTTTAAAGTCAATGTTTACGTATAATGTTTTCTTTTCGACTGAAGTTATTTGTGTTTTCGGCGGTTTTGGTTTTTATTTTCTTATCAATGAATATTGAAGGATACCCGTTTTTGATAAGTATCTCCTTCAGGAGTCCCATTTCGTCATCTGTGACCTCGGGACTAAAAATTCCTTGTATTCGCGTGACGAGCGATATTATTTTCTCTTTCGACTAATGTGCACCCGTCTGTGGAAACTTGATAGTTGATCATTCCACATGGGTTTCCTGTAGATAGATCTTCTTAGAGTTCCATCAAGAAAGTGAATATTTTGTTTGTTATATAACTAACTCACTAAGTTAATAGTTTGAAATTTATCCTTGTGTTATCCCAATTTTTTTTAATAGCATTTTAAATAATCTTTCTTTTAATGTGTTAGGGATTGTGGTGATTACTGAAAGACAAAAATAGTTTTTTTTCTAACATAATTCTAATATTTTGATTTTGTTTCTCATTTAACATTGATTGCCAGATTTTATTTTACGTTTCAATGTAAGTTACTAATTAGAAAATATTCTTAAAAATGTGGTGTAGAATTAGGAAACTATTAAGTTTGTCTGTGTGTACGTATTAAATTTCCGATATGTCGACATTTTGTGTTACTATGGTAAAAATAATTCTTTGAAAGTAATCACCTGATATCGGTATGATTAGAAAGGAAGTTAGTGATTGGATTTCAGTGTTTATGCATGGTTGTATATCCCTGAATCTTAGATTTTTCTAGACTTAAACTGTCTATTTCATTGAGATCGTTATCACTTCCCGATTAGAATTTCCTTATTTTTTTGTAGTGAAATAAGAGCCTACATAATTCTTCAGAAACTATATACATAATATTAAATAGGAGATTCAGGTTTTGTATTTTCGTTTCATCAGACGAAAAACAACTAAATATAGGCATTATTGGGCAGTCCTTATATCTCATTTTGAAACTTCTTACCAATTCTCAGCCAAGAACCTATGGAGATATGACCAGATATCAAGGATTACCAGGTCTGGTTGTAGGCGCACTATTTTAAGGTACAACCCAAAATCCGATTCCTTAGATCTTCAAATTTGGCGAAGTGCTGCATTGATTAAACCTTACTTCAAACATAACGACCTCTTAATTAAACTTCATGAAATCCATCTTTGAGACCAATCACTAGTGATCACGTGATTATGATGCGGTTTGTGGTAGTTTGTAAGTAGGTGTTTTTATCATAGACTTAGATAATGTGAGGAATCACTGAAAATCATGCATAACAAAATTTTCATAGTTTATGTCACTGACTGACCTTTGTTAGATAAATGTTAAAAACCAAGAAGGATTGAACTGCACTTTCGTTTTACTATGGGACTTGTTGTTAGTGCACATCCATGATGTTGTCGTTCAGAATAACGATGAAAGCTCGACGACCAAATCACCCAGCTCAGGGACCAAAACTACACTAAAACCTTCTATGACCTCACCAGGAATCAAACCTTACGGTGAGCATTTAACCTTAAGACCCTAAGTTTAATTAAGATTAATCCGATTAACCCGATCACACTTGATGGAGAAACTCTAGAACAAGTAGAAATATTCACGTACCTGGACAGCATCATCGATGAATAGGGAGGATCTGATGCAGAAGTAAAGGCGAGGATTGGCAAAGCAAGGACAAGATTTCTACAGTTGATGAACATATTGAATTCAACACGATTGTCAACCAATATCAAAGTAAGAATCTCCAATACGAACGTCAAGACAGTTTTACTGTATGGAGCTGAAACTTAGAGAACCATCACAACCATCATCAAAAAGGCACAAGTACTTATAAACAGTTGTCTAAATAAGATACTGAACGTCCGTTGGCCGGATACCATCATCAACAGCCTACTGTGAAAAACAACATACCAACTTCGAGCTGAACAGGAAATCAGGAAAAGACGATGGAAGTGGATAGTACACACATTGAGGTAATCATCAAACTGCATCAAGAAGCAAGCGTCAACCTACAATCCTGAAGGAAAACGGAAAAGAGGAATGCCAAAAACATACTGCGCCGAGAATTGGGATCAGACGTGAATATGATGAATAGAAACTGGAAAGGATTATCCAGGACAGATTTGGATGGAGAATGCTGGTGTTTGGCCAGTGCTCCTCCACGAGGGGTAACAGGCATAAGTAAGTAGTGAACGCAAATTATAATTCGTTGCAATAAAAATACTTCTGACAATGAATAGAAATCTCATAAATTAAGTTTATCGGGTGGTAATAATAATGAAAATGATGATCATGACGATAATAATAAAAATGATAATGATAATTATAAGAACGGCACTTATTAGACAAAACTGATCTCAGGTTATCACAATTTTCTTTTTATATAGAATCAATCTTCTGCGTCACTATTTCTGTTGGGCAAAAGCCTCCATTTATATGTTTATTAAAAAGATGAACAGAGAGGAAAGATATTTCTTTTCAACTAACCTTTATCATTGATCTACACTGATAGACATATTTAACGGCAATACTAACGAAACCGATACTAATTACGTGTCATTATGTTAGATGATAATAACATTACAATCCCATAAGTTTTTGGTTGAGATCATGAAGCGATTGATGTTAGACCACCGTCGGAAACCTGGAAGCACTGCACAGCCGTTTCATCCTATTGTGGGACTCCTCAACAGTGTTCGTCCACGATCTCGCTTGCGGGGTTCGAACCCGGGGCCTTCAGTCTCGCGCGCGGACGCCTAACCTACTGGACCACTGAGCCGGCATCCAATGGTGTTAGTGTCTAATATCAACCAACATCAACGGTGGTCTAACATCAATCAATCCATGATCTCAATCAAAAACTTAACAATCTCCACAACCCCTATACTGGCAATCCTATAAGTCTTAATGAAAATAATTATGAATGATTAACAAAGTATTTAAAAGATATGGTGGACAAAACGATTAACATTCAACAGATATTAATTAATAAATGA